GGTCTGGATAGCCCACAGACATACCATAAAAATTTCTAGGACCCATAATTTGGTCTCCTTTAAGTAGAATTCTGTTGTAGTTTTAAAGTACTTAAAAGACTTAATTGCGACTGAGAGGTTTACATTTTTCAGTCCTGAAACCCATCCAGCTTTGAACCAGCCTGTTAGTTTGATGAATCTCACCCCCCAGTTTTTGTTGAGGTAACTGGTAAATATGCAGAAATAATTGGTTTCAGCATCCCTGCCTTATTTACTACAAATGTGTTTTAATCGCAGCTCTGCCATCATTCATGAATATTGATGAGAATATATTCAGCCTTTGGGAAGAGTTGTAACGAAGCCGAGCAGAGCTGCTGCGTCTTCCTCAGGCTCTGAATGAACAATTAGACTCCACTGCTAACTGACTCAACAGCTCCAACAGCAATTTGGCATTTTGTCACTTTGGGAATTAGAAAACAGTTCAAACCAATTTAAAACAGCAACAAATCTTTATGCAATTATTTTTATTTATTTATTATTTTTATTTTTTTTGCCAAACCTAATCTTGTTACATATTTGTCTTCCTGTCAGGTTTTGGAACAGCATCCTGATGGACGCTGGAAAGGCTGTATTCATGACAACCGAACAGGAAATGATCGAGTGGGCTACTTCCCTTCCACTTTGGTTGAGGTCATCAGTAAGCGCACAGGTGTGTTTTTTTCCTCTTGTGTGTAAGAGTGAGTGTTACACTAATTTCAGTTGTTAAAAAAACACCAGTGAATCAGTTTGGGGCTGAAAACAGGAAGTACCTGGAAACAGCTTCTATTTTGATTAGTTTGGCACCTGAACTGGATTCAATATGAAATCCAGTCGTCTGTGCATGAGCTTAGAAAAAGATGCATAATAACATTTTATCATGTTTTTATGTTTATTGTATCATGCTTATAACAAGCAAGGTGCAGAAAAAAATAGCTTGAGGCTTTTTTTTTCAGGGACATAACTTTTGAAGAAATCTAATTTCTGCAATGTTAACCTAAAATCTGCTACCATCATACTTTGTTTTGGTAATTGTCTTCTAAACAGCTCCTAAACAGTTTGCCATTGCACATTTTTAATAAAAAAAAAAGCATAGTTCGTCTAGAGTTGCAAGAGATGTGGACATAAAGGACTGATCTAAGCTAACAGAACTAGTATTTAGTCAAAGATAAATTTACTGCTGATCTCAACAAACAGAGACAAAGTGTTCCTGACTAAACCAAACAAGGTGCCTGTAACAAAAATAATAGAAACTGAGAATGACTAATGTAAGAAGTTGGACCCGGGAATACAAATTGAACACAAGGAGCTTGAATGAAAATAAAATATTATTTATTTGAAAAAAAAAGGCTGACATGGCAGCAAAAACTAACATTACCACAAGAAGTTATGAGGCGACTCAAGGAGAACCGAAGGTGGCATGAACACAACAATGCCTGACTGATGAGTGAGGTGAAACTGAGAGTAGAAAGGACTGATGAGAAGATTGGAGACACCTGAGCCAAATGAAGCAGGGAGCTGGAGCAAATGGGCGCAGCAGGACCGAGGAGCACGAGCTGAACTGAAAATGAGCAGACGGCTGTTTGAACTTGACGTGTYCTGCAGTGGGACCACTTTACCAGGGGCCTCGTGTATCACAAAAAGAGTTGCGTGTGCCAGGTTCCACGCATACATCGGGGTGTTGAATCTGACCTAAATACGCAGAAACACAAAAAGAAGCTGCGACCGACTCTGCCTCAGGGTCTGACTCTGGGTCTCATATGGTTGTACAAYGGAGCTTCTGCTATTATTAGCCATGCTAACGTAAACGCTGGCTTTGGAGGGCGGAGYWRATGTCAACAGATTTTTGGAGGGCGTTACCAACAGAGCTCATTAACATAAACAGCTCTTCTGAACGGAAGTCAGAGCAGGCAGAACTAGAAAATGAGAAGTTTTATTATCTGAGAATTATTTTGTGCATTAAATTGAATGAACATGGTCTGGATAGCCCACAGACATACCATAAAAATTATAGGACCCATAATTGGGCTTCTTTAATAAATAAAGATGTAAGTTTGACCAAAATCAAAGTTTCACTTTGACTTTCCTCATGGGGACTTTGCATCACTTACAGGTCATTTCTACAGCCTAACCCTGAGCCCTTACCCTAAACCTAAGCTCACAGGTCCATACCWKACCTTAAGCCTAACCTAAACTCCATTCGCACATTAGTCCTAAACCCAACCCCTGACYCAGAACTGTATTTCCCCCAATGGGGACTGGGCTTTTATCCCCATTAGGAGCAGTGGGTCTTCACCAGGCTGGGAAAATGGTCAAAAATTGTCCCCACCAGGTAGCAAAAACATGTACACACACACAATCACTTGTCTGTTGTGCATGACAAACATGTTTTTACACCCAACTACCTGTTTAATATTCCATTTAATTCATAATTTTCCTGCATCTAGGAATAATTTCTGCTCGCGCAGAGAGGAGAATGACACACGCTGGACTTTGCATCTATTTTACAGATTTTAATGGAGGCCTGTCAGGGGAGGAGTCTCCCCTGCACTCAGCTCCACATTCGTTGGGCTGTAGGAATAAAAGGAAGGCAGAAACATACACAAGCACAGTTTGATAAATCTGATTATTTCTGTACTTTTCTACTTTCGTACGTACGCTGACTTTTAGTTTGAAAGCTGCGCAGTCTTTGATACACGAGGCCCCAGGACGTCTCCCCCACAGTTTCCCTTTGACCATGAATAGTCCATGTGAACAAAAGTCAGACAGATCCGACGCCTCCCATCATATTAGTGGAACATTTACAGGTCATCTCTGTCATTCTAACATTYGCCGTGTTGTTTCCAGCAAATCTGATCAGTGACACAAGATTGACTTCTTTGCGCACATCATCTGAAGAAAACTAAACTAATTTTCAAAACAAACCTGCATTGATTTTCAATATAACAAGATAAATGGTTGCCTTGATAGAACCTGGATAGTTAACTCATAATCTTGAGAAAACCACATCTAATATAATAATAGGAAGAGTTGTCCTCTTTTTAGTTTATTACCTAGATGAAAATGTCAAAAGGATCCTGTTAACATCACAATATGTCCTGTAGTGCTGCCACTGACTGGTATGTTACTTGTTGCTCAGGTATGAAGACAGAAAGTCACTGAAAAATAATGTAATTTTCCTTCAACTACCAAAAATTCTTTGTTATTTTGCAAAAGAGTGAAAACCAGGACCTTTTAGATTCAGTTTCCCCATTTTTCAGAAGTTTTCTAATATTTTAAAGCAATTTAGCTACCCATGAAGCTGTTTTATATTTCATAGCACTAATAATTGATTTCACTCATCATATCCCAAACTAAGTGGAAGCTAATTTCCTATAATATCAAAGTATTCATCATGTAAAATTTCATTGCTTAATAGACGTGCTGTCCAGCTTCTTGATCCATTATTTAACCATCTTCCTCCATTTTTGATGAACCCAGCGAGCTCCTCCTAATCTACTGGGCTACTTGCACACATTCAGATCCATCTTATCACTGCAGTTTGATGGTGAAACATAAAAAAGGCTCAGATGTTTTTAACTGTGTATCATTGTTTTAGCTGTAGCTGTTTCTAGTCTTCATGTAGTTCCTTTCTGTGTCTGCTTGTCTCCGTTTGTTTGGCTGTATCTTTCTGTATCATGTTTGATCATCAGTCCTCTCTCATCATCAGCTCATCATTTACCCTCATGTTTTCCTCTGATTACTTGAACATACGGGTCCATGGTTCAAATCCTATTGTGGCCCTATAGGAAACATGATATATCAGCATGATTATGTGTAGCAGCTGTTTACAATGAAAAAAAAACAGCTGCAGTCTTCTTAAAACTGCCTTATCAGCCTCTCTGCTTGATCAGTGCCAGAGCACACACACACACGCACTCACATGCGCGTCTAGTGTTTATATCCTCGTGGGGACCGTAGATTAACTTCCATTCATATTTTGATAATTTTATAGCCTGCCTAACCCTGACCATTTACTCTAAAATTAACCTCACAGAAACGAGAGCGGACCTTGCTCACGTCCAATGTAAGTGTTTCTAAATGCAGTTATTTACAGATATATTCTAATATTTCTAAGAAGTTTAATTGATCTTGATGTTCTTGATGTAGTGTAACCCTGAAGGAACTTAGTGATATTTCTTTTAGTCTTGGCTGCGTTTTTCTGTAATTTGTTTGTGTGAAATTATTCATAAAGAAAACAGTTTGTTGCTACTGAACATTTAATAAGAGAAAAAACATCAGTGCAACAATAGTAGCTAAATGTCTGTAGAAAACCAAGACTGCTTGTATTTACCATTTTAATTAGATGAGATTATATTCTAGGTATCAGATAAGCTTTGAGTGAAAACATCCACTGTGTAAGGTTGGGCATAATCGTATCGTGTGTGATTAATCGAAAACATTAATTGATTATTATTTGGCACTTGACGATTAATACGATTAATGCCAGCAGGCAGAGTCTGCTCACTGCTCCTCTCCACTTCGAATATGATGAACATAAAAAAAGGTTCTGTAATTTATTTATCTATCAACACAATTTAAAATTAGATGTATAGCCAGAAGTCTGTAATTTTGACACAATTTGGAACAGATATTTACGAAGAGTAAATCTTTCCTACTAAACTGATCATGTGACYAGGACATAAGGGTGTCCAGGGACTCCAGGGGATTAATCGTCAAATTAATCATTATCGGCTAAATACCACAATTAATCTTGATTAATTTTTTTGCCAATATTGCCCAACCCTACTACTGTGGTAATGTTGAAGATAAAGTCTTGCTGTAAGATTTCTAATGAGGTGAGTTTTAATAAGAAAGTAGGAAGACCTGCTCTGATAGGATGCTACAGCTGAATTGTGGCTTTCTAWAAGGTTTCTGTTTGCAGCAAAGACTACTTTTGGTGGACTGGTGTACACTTTAGTTTTGGCTGTTTGTGCTGGATGTATACACACCTGTCTGAGTGCTGTTTGGTTGTAGCAGAACAAAAATGATAATGTGTGTTCTCAGCGTGAGGACTGTAGATAACCTGCTAGATTTTCAAGCTACTATATTATTTCCCAGTGAATTTTTTTGTATTTTCTTTTTGTGTGGTTGGTGGTTAAAAGGACATTTATGATGYCTATAGATGTGTCTGGTAAAACTATAATAAATGTGGTCTAATTATGAAAACTCCTTGGAATTAGGTTTAGATGTTGAACAGACGTCCCCATCTGCTGCATTGTTCTGACGTAAACACACAGGTGTAATTATTAGGAGTGTTGCGGTGAATGTTTTTGTATTAGATTGTCACAGAACTGACATCAGGTTCCTGTGCTGCAAACAGTTGAAGAATACTTTAGTCGCAGACAATTGCTTCTCTGATTTACAAGTGGGGTACACGTTCATTTTAAATGCCTTTTTGCTAACAAGACAGAAACTTTACACTGTAAAACACTCTATGATAAAACAAGAATTGTGAATTGAAACTCAGCTGTGTGGACAAATTTCCTGGTGAAACCAATCTATTGAAACCAACCAGGGTCGCTGTTCGCCTGCTCCTACACACCTGCTAACATCTAACAAATATTAAACACATCAGCAAATGAACAGAACCCTAGAACTTCTTTAGCTGAGTAGCTCAGTAAGAAAGAATTACC